CTTCTATGCCTTAAAATTCTATAATTCTATGATTCAAGTACTGAAGAGATGATTTATTTCTAATGTGCTGTACTTGGTTAAAGAAATGTATTCAGAAATATCGCTATGACAATATTGCAATATTAGAAGTATAATTCCCTAGTATAAAACTGAATACAATTTTCCTTGGAAATCTATCCTCTATTCAACTAAATGATTTAATGATACAGTAGTCTTATCCACTCATTTTGTGTTGTGTTCCCAATTGTAATGATACATCGATCATGGAATTTACGCATTGGAACAGTGACTGCTAAAGTAATTCTGAAATTGGTATCTTTGCTCAGTAGTGTGGGATCTCTCATAAGGTTATTTCTAAATAGGGTAATCTTTTTGTGAAGTCTTTATAATGGGTGACAAAAAGATTGCAATCATTGCCTATGTTAAAGCTATCCATACATAACAGTAATTCTCCCTTGTGTGGAATGAGTGTGTGTGTGTGTCTATCATCTCTAATCTGCTCCTCCAGTTCCTCTTTCGCACCATCACTGAGACAGTCTTCAGGCACTTTACCCCCATTCTCTGGAACTGGGCAATCTCTCTGCTTTATACACTTTCTCTCAGTTTTTAAAACCCTTCTACAAAGCTTTGGTCATTTTCCTCCTTCCCCAACCAATCTTTTCATTGAGCTGCCATTCTATCTCTGTTGTGAGAACTACATGAAAAGTTCTATATTAGTACAAGTTGTTGTTATGGTGTTTGTGTATATTTGGGTGAGAATTTGATCAGCCTGTCTCTAATTGAGTAGTGCCCACTTGACAAGTTATTAGCGAACTACTGATAACCGCAAAATATTGTATATCAGAATGCCAACAGAAGGGGAGAAAATTACAAGTAACACATTGCAACAGGAAGTGCAGGTAATATGCTACCCTTACCATAAACTCCCTATCGTCAATGCATCTGTGTTGGTAAGGTTTTGAAAAGACTAAGACGTGGGATATGAAGTGAAGCCAAGAGAAGTGATGTGATATTAAGAGAAGTGATGTGAGGACAAATGACATGAAGAACATGAGGTAAAGAAAGATGGTATGAAATGCTGCAAAAGTTGAAGCTATTTGAAGAACAGTGAAGTGAATTGTGGAACATGAAGAAATGGGTAGTGATGTGAAATGAAGTGAAATGAGTGACACAAAGTGCAAAGTGATGTGAGAAGAAAGTGAAATGATACAGACATCAAAAAAGTGCTGTAGAGTCATCACCATTGTATGCCCTCCAGAAAAAGGACTTGGGCATAAACAATGAACAGCACCCAGAGTCATGAGAGCTCAGCAAGGTCCCATGTTCTCATTAAACTTCATAAGATCATAAGATTAGTTTGGATGACAAAGGCCAAAACTTATTTCACTTAATATGGATAAGATCGAAGTTATCTTCCAAAGTCCTCCCACCAACTTCTCTTCTGGTTCTGACCTCCTCAATCTCCTTAGCCTATCTCTCAAACTCTCTGAACTGGGGTGCAAGTTTGGTGGCCGGTTCAATCACCAGCTTTTCTTTTTCCCTCAACATAACTATGCTCACATCAATAAACTCCACATGACCATCAATCCCCAATTCTCACCAGCCTCCACTGCCTTCCTGTTACCCAGCAGATCAATTTCAAGTTCCTCACCCTCAACTCTATTTCTTCGAACTTCTCATACCCTATTCCTCCACCTGTACCCTCTACTCAGCTAACCTGGGATAGTTTTGTGTCCTCCCTCTTGTTCGGTTCTTGACTTGCATTCCGAGGGTAGGTTACCATTGCAACAAGATACCATCAGTTCTTATGCTCCTAACCTCTGGAATTCCCTCCCTCCTATACCATTTTGTCTTATCACCTCGTTTTCTATTTTAACTACTGTCCCTCTACCTTGTTGAACTCACATATAGTCAACCACCTCTTTCCCTGACCCTTGCTCAATATCTACCCTGGCCCTGTAAAGTGCCCCCAACACATTCCCCTTAGGACACTAAATTAATGCAAGTTGTTGTTTCCGATGACTTGTAAGAACTAAGTTTTCAAACAGTTGCTCAAATCACCACTTTTGCTAATACAGGCATACTTCAACGTCAGCTCTTCTCATCATTGGGAAACAGAATTCACCAACCATTGGATTGTTCACTGAGTAATGGGGAACAAAACCTTGGTTTTATCCATCATGAGATGTTCCAGCGCCTTGGGACGTCCTCCTGATGTGAAAGGCGCTATACAAATGGAATTTATTGCTGTTGGTATCTTGTTGAAAATGTAACCTATCCTGGAACTGCAAGTTATAATTTGGTCCCTAATTATTGCAAGATTGTCTAATAGTAAAGAGCATCCCTTTAAATGGATTGCTAATTGTAAATGAATAAGAAAACTTGACAATGGATGAATGCAGGTGAATCTTGCGGCTATTCTGAATGCGTTGTTATGGTGTCTTCTTTCTGTGTTTGTGTAAAGAATACGAAGCTTTGTTCTGTTTTATTACTAAAGCACTAAGTACATTCAAGAATGTTGTCTCATGTAGTGTGATTATTAGCACACTCTTGACAGATTCAGGAAATGCATCTGCTGTGAATTGTCTAACCAGTCACAGTGCATGAAACTGAAATGGCCCGGCTCATCAGAAAGTTGAGCAGTGATAGAACAGTGCAATGTGGGATATGTCTTGAACACAGAGTAGTCGATATTTGTACCATTGGTTATGCACTTTGTTTTTGCTTTACCCATACATCTGTGTAATGAAAACTGGTATCACAGTAAGATTCATTTCCATCTGTACAATCAGAAGTTCAAGTCTAATGAGATTCAAGAAACACAATTAAAAAATATTACAGGACACCATTCAACAGAGAGTTCCCATTTAACTTTCCGGTCTGGATTCCTATTTATTGACAGATTCTTTTTTTCTCCATTTTTTTAATACAACACAGTGAAACAGTGATGCTGAATACATACAATATAATAGTATAAAAAGCCATTTACCCTCCCCGATAAAAGACACTTACAGCTGACATTAAGAACTGTTTCAAAATAAATATGAATTAATAAATACAAAACAATCACTGCACAGCCCTTAACTCTTTGATTGCCATGGGTCAGGGGGGGGGAGGGAAATGGGTGTGGGGGTAGGGAAATTGTTGATTTGAATGCTTAATACATTTTGAACTGGTTGCGTTGTTCATCCACAGCAGTCAAAGGGTAGAGCAAGAAACTATAAACATAAATAATCCATTACACATGATCACTTATGTTCATGGCTGGAGATATAAGCTTTCCTGTTCCCTTGACCTCTATCTACCATCCTATTAACAAAGAGGAAATAGAATGTAACAAAAATGAGGAAGGGGAAATTATTCTCAAAATTCTCAGATTTATCATTACATTTACACATTAAAAGTTTTCATCGACAAAGTCAGAAAGAATACGGACCTGCAGAATCTGGGAGAGGTGGCCACGATTCTGTTATCATCAGTAAATTTACCCATTAAAGATCACATCAATAGGGTTGATAAAGTAACTGATCTGCAGTGAATCACCCCCAAGAATTGATTGTAAGAAAAATCCATTAACTTGGTTTTGGTGTAATTTTTGATCACTATAACCATGCATTAAATTAACAAACCTGGAGTCAAGTAATCATTATGGTTCATATCAGTGAGAAAAATGTTGTCATGCACCCACGTTTGTCAATCTAACACATTCAAATATCAATCTGCTGTGCAACGAATACCTTTTAAATGCTTCACGCAAGCCAGGCATGCTGTGGACAAACAAGAATGAGGCTGCACAAAACAAGTAATTTAAAAAGATACAGGTACAGGAATGGAGAGCTGATTACAGTGCTCGTGCCATTTTACTCTCCTCAGAGATCACTGAATTAGCTGCACTCCAGCATTAAACTTGCACTCTGGCTTTCGGGCTTACTGAGCAATATGCGAACGTGAGAAAGTTGCAATGGATGTTAGAATCAACAAAAAAACACAAGTTTAGTTTCTTTACCTTTCTACTTAATGTCTATAGTTGGTTGCTAAAGATCAAAGACAGGAGGAAAACACTTTTAAGGATATGGAATGGTAATATTTTCCAGTTGAAGAATTTTTAAAAAGTTCAGTAATTACAACAGCCTGAAAATGTATTAAGTAATAAGTTGAAGGCAAACCTTTAATTATTTTAAAAGCCATTTTACGCTCACATTTTCATACAAAAGGGAGTTCTGATCCGTGAGTTACATTGGTGAAGTGGCTGTTTGTTACATCAGTGCACAGCCCAGTGACAGGATAAATCTGCTCTCCAGGAGGAAGTAGCTCTTAAAATCAAGAAAGATTTCAGTTGGTTGCTAAATGTTAAAATGGTGAGAAAAACAATTTGCGCTACGGGATTGGCTCAAGCCCCAGTTCCCCACAGTTGCCCTGTAATTAAACTTCCCCTCCATCCTGTATGTGGAAGGCAAAGAAACTCAAAAGTCACTTCCGAAAAAGCTGGGCCCATGAACCATTTGAATGTGAAGAATTTGAATTGTTCTCTATAATGTGCAGTTTGTGTCTTTATGCAAATAACCTCTGCTCTTCACCCCAGAGTTCCTAAAATCACAGTGTGGGTAGGTAAAGAAGAGCAGAGTGGGGATACAAACTGCATTGGTACTGATCTAAATCCCCACGACAAATACATACAGTACTTCAAAATACATGGCAGGCTAAAAAACAACTTCCAGATTGAGGTCTTTAGCATCTTCCTAAATGGGAGATTTAATTATGGGATAACTGCAGAGCTCGACAACTTCAAACCAAGGTTTTTTGCACAATTTATGCACGCAACACTGTAATGTTAAATGTACCTTGGAAGTCATGGCTGTGTAGTTCACCACTAATATCTCAGGCATTATATAATAGTAATAACCAAGTAGGACATGTGGATGAATTGATAATGACACATGCCCACATTAGATTGACTTATGTGATAATTAACACACGTTTTCTTAATTGTCACTATCATATGTTTTAAGAACAATGAATTTCAATTCACTGAGAAATTAGCTATACTTTCTGAGAAGTTATATGTAGTTCAATAATGCACACTTCTTTAGCTGCTCACAAATGGTATCCATGTCATTATACAATAAGTATATTCATGGCATTGTCACCCCATCGAGTCTCTCTGGCGGAAACTACGTGTGGTCTCAGCTGCTGTTGTGGGTGGAAAAGCATCAATGGCTTATTTTTGCTTGATGGTTCCATTTATAGCACTCTACTGCTACTTCTAGTCTTCTTTGTTAAACAAATCCTCTATGATGGTTTGATAGAAGGTGGGAAGTCGGTGAGTGACAGCAGGAAAATCAATGTATAGGAACTCCTTAAGTGTAATTTTACAATTCCATTACATAAAATTTAAATGTACATCAACCACAGCTATTGAAAATCCCAAGTATCACCTTTGTTCTGAACTGCTTTACAAAACAAAAAGAAAAAATATATATTTAAGGCTGTTACAATATTGCAGATATTTGGCCCCTGTTACTTGGAGACAGACTTTCAGAACAGTCTAATTTTCTATGCTTTGTGATCCTGGCCTTGTACTTGAAAGGATCAAGTGCAGCAATATTTCCTTATTAGACAGATTGTGATCCTCTTTGGAAAATGAATGCAAAAGCTGAAGAGTCTTTCTGCTTCAGAAAAAAAGATAAAGTCAGCATAAGGATTCTTAACCACACTCTCCGAGTAGGAAAGAGATCTGATTCAGCAATGAAGTATAGTACCAGTGTTCTGTTTGCATTTTTTTTCCTTTTTTTCTTAATTCCGGGGGCAAAGTCCACTAGGGCATCAAGCGTGCAGATAAAAGGCCTATACGGAATGGCGCATCAAAGAACGACAAAGGACCGAAATACAGATGATACCGTGTATCATGGAAGCTTCCCCCTTCTCTTTATAGAATCTCCATTCATGCTCGGAACAGACAGCTCCAAGAAACTCAACCATAATTCACGTGTCTCAGGCAGACAGATGCGTGGCTCATTGCTGGGTTGCAGGGTTTACATCCCTGTTATTAAAATCTCACAGTGTCCAGCTTCAATCACACCCACTCTTGCATGGAACGCTTACAGTACAGTATGTGCCGTGGCGCTCCTTTCCTCTTGAACTGAACCACTGTGTAAACCAACACCAGAAAGCACAAGGCCAAAGTACATGGGATCACGATGGCGATGGCATCCACAGTGCTGGACGTGTTATCAATTTTAATCACAATGTCGACATCGTCCTGAGTGCCATGCCTGTCGCTGCCTCCATTCTTAGTTCGGTCACATCCCATCCATTCTTTAAGGATTGATCTGGGGTAGCCAGGTTCCACTCTGAGCTTATGGTTGTTGAATTTCCAATAATGCTTGTCTTTGTAAAAGAATGTATACCCTGCAAATATCAAAACATAATCAGTCAACATAGTTTTACATAGTGTCAGGAGGACAGCTCAAAGCAATTCATGTAGCTGGCTAGAGTCCGAGCTTTGAGAGGAAGTGGGGGTGGTGAGGTGGTAGAAGGCATGGTTGAAAACAGAGGTCTTAAGGTGGGTTTTGAAGATGTGGAGGGAGAAAGGTAAACTGGAGAGAGAAGGCTGAAAGCTCACCTACTAATGCTGGGCTGGATCAGATGAGGGACATGAAATAGAGCACAGAGCATTCAAATGAGCTCAAATTCCCACTTGAACCCATATCAATTAACAACAAATCAGCTTGATGCTGTGATGGGAGAATGGTAGTGAACCCTCGGTTTCTCATCTTTAAATAGTACAGTGGGTAAATACTGTGATATTTCTAAATGGAATTTCTTAATCCTTTGTGCAAAATCTTGGTTCTAAATGATGGTGCAATAGTTATTACTTTCTGTGTCAAAGACACATTGTAAAATCTACCATCTCTGTGAATTTCTGTAGATTCTAATTAAAATCTAGTGGAAAACTACTGACCAATTTTGTCTTCATAATTACAACAGCCTCGGAATTAAACCAGAACTGTGACTTCTCCATGAGAAAGTATTCAATCCTGTAGTGTTAATATCAACAACACAGGTGTCTGAGCTAAACAACACAGTTGGATAGAACTCATATCCACACTCAGAGGATAGAGTTTGTGACTGATGGTATTTTGAAAGTATTGGGCCCTGGAGAGCACAACTAATATCACAAGCGATAGACAATAGTAATAACCAGATGATTTTTTGGTCAGCTGGATGCCTGACACATGCAGAAATCCATCACCATGCAGGAGTCTCCAAACCAGATGGTGATCCACATATGTATGGAAATTTTCATTAATCAGGAAAGGAATATGCAATCTTTTCCCAATTTGCCACTGTAATAATTGTCCACTATTTGTCCAGCTAGGACCACCCTACCCATAAGGACTTTTGTTAACAGGAACTGAACTGGAAGAAACATAGCCCCCAGTGAACTGCATAGAGCATGTGGATGAATTGATAATGACAGAAATCCACATTATATTGATTTGCCAGTCTAGCTCAGTTGGTAGCATTGGGACCTCTGAGTCAATAGGTTCAGAAGATCATAAGATTGGTTTGGGTGACACAGGTCCATCTGATCTCATCCCTCCAGAATATCCACTCTACTATTCTCCCATCACAGCATTTGCTAATGATGTGGGGTCAAGTAGGACTTTAGTTCCTAGTCCAGGTTGAAACTCTTGCTGCTGGAGTGCTGCATTGTTCAGAGTGCTATTATTCTAATGAGACATTTAACTGAGGTACCATTTGCCTGTTCAGGTAAGGATCCCATGGGTCTATTCAAAAAGAGGATGGAGTTTCTCCCAATATACTAGCCAAGAATCTTAAGGCAAGACTCCTCCCAATAACAAAAAGTACTTCACTCACATCCTCCTGACTCGAGGGAACTTGTTCAAAAAACAGATTGGGTTGGAGAGATGTTCCTGCTAGCCAGCATAAACATTGCAGTGCTATATGTATTTCTAGAAAGAAATGTAATAATCCTTGCATTTACAATATTGAGTGTTTCATGTCATTTTAATGCATTACACAGCAAAACACCTTTTTATGGGTTTGAAAACCTGAGGAGCAATGCTTGGATTGAGTTGGGCAATCTGACCTTTTAACAATTGGTCTTAAACAGTTGTAAATTGATCGCACTATCGAAAGTCTGGCTTGACAAAAAGCTCAGTTCCACATTTATTGCCTTACTAGGTAATAAAAGTCACTGGTCAGAATGCATTAGCTTGTAACAGATTTAGATGGCTAGAAGTTAAAAAAACAACTGATGTTCACTGACTGTGGAAAGCAATGATATTTTCCACTTTGTTCTTAATGATCCCATTTTCTAGCTGTGGACTCGCTGAACTGAATACAGCATAACATTAAGGAGTGGAAGTTTTAAAAAATAACTCTTGCATTTGATATAATCTTTCACATCAGAAGGACATCTCCAAGCAGTTCACATGATTTATTGTAAAGTGTAGTGGTTGTGTATTTTGAGGGTAAACTAAGCTATTGTACAGTGTGTTGCTGTATAGGATACAGCATTAACTAGTTCAACATCTTATGGTTTAAATCAAAGCATAGCTTTCATGCTACTTATTTAAATTTGTGTTAAACTTGATTGTATCAAGTGAATTCACATTGCTCCATTTACAAATTTGGCACTGAGGTTGAATATAGACTTGTTATGACGGTCTGAAACATATTAATGACGTTATTGTACTGATCGCCTGGTACAAGTCTGACTCATCGAAGGAAAAATTATGTGCCCACCAGTGAGTCAGACTAGTATTGCCTTTATGGATGTGGTAATAATCCTTGCATTTGATATAGCACCTTATCACGACGAAATGTCTCAAAAGTGTTTCATAACTGAATAACTAATTTATTATCTGGGGGATTATTGGCCAGAACACTAGGACAGCACACTTTAGATGCTTCAGCTCCTTCCCAATCTCAGACCACTCCTGCTATCACAGATCGGGTCTATGCATCAATTCAATTCATGCCATTTCGGTATGAGTGTGCTTTACATTGGTATTGGTGTTGCTAATTTATTCCAGGGAAATAGCGGTGTGCAGAAGCACAATGACCAAAGTAGGACCTCTCTGTGCAAACTAACACTTAATGTTTGCTCTTACCACTTTCCTTGCTGACAAAGGCCCCCTGTGGAGACTCGGGGATCCCTTTCCATATTGCAATGGACTTGGGATAACCACTGTCCACGTCGTGCATTTCTTCATTATACCTCCAGTACCTAAAGGCACACAACATAAGGTTTCAAATGTAGGTTAAACCAATGCGATTGATAAGATTTTTTATTCTGCAACTGATGCCATTTTAAAAGAAACCACCTTGCATTTATATAGCACCATTCAGGTAGGATAATATCTTGGAAGTGCTTCACAAAGTTAAGATCAGACATCGAGCGAAGGAGGGGGAAGATACTGTTGACATGGTCGAAGAGTTACATGCAATACAATACAAATTTACATTATACTGTGCCTTTCACATTGGGAAGACGTGGGAGTGGGACTCAGCTGGGAGTGGAGCCAAGGGGGAGGGGAAGACAAGGGGGGAAAGGTGGCCAAAAGTGCAGTCAAAGAGGAAGATCTTAAGGTGGATCTTAAGGGAAAAGGAAACTCAAAAGTTCTCTGGGATGAAGTTCTAGAGAGTGGGACAAATATACTGATGGTGGGGTGTGGAATGTGAAGCAGCCCAGTGCCCGTTGAGTAGAGGGCAGGGCTGGGTTTGTAGGTTTTGAAGGGTCACAGAGGAAGGGGGAGGCAAGACCATGAGGGATTTAAATAATAATAAATCATAATCCTTGCATTTGATATAGCGCTTTGCACATCTTCTAGACATCTCAAAGCGCTTCACAGGATATACTGTAAAGTGAATTGACTGTACATTTGTGGGCAAAATTTATGTGTTAGGACAAGGATCTTGAATTTGATCTGCTGGAGGATAGGGAGTCAGTGGAGCCGGGCGACGATGCGGGTGATAGCTGGCGGAGCCTAGAGGGAAAATACACGAGCTGCAGAGTTCTGGATAGTCTGCAGCTTTGGAGTGTAGGAGGCAGGTAGTCCCATTTAGAGTGGGGACAAAATGGAGGAGTGGAAAGAGTTGCAGAGATTAGGGGTGTGGAATTTCTCGATGACAACAACAACAACAACAACAAGATTCCATTTATAAAGCGCCTTTCACGTCAGGAGGACGTCCCAAGGCGCTGCACAGTTGGGTCATGACCCGAGCAGGGGGAAATGGTCAGGGTGAGGGGAGGGAAGGGAGGGAGAGAGGAGGGGGAAATGGTCAGGGTGAGGGGAGGGAAGGGAGGGAGCGAGGAGGGGGAAGAGAGTCGAGAGGGGAGCTGAAGGCACGGTCAAAGAGAAAGGTTTTGAGACCGGCCTTGAAGGAGGAAAGGGAGGAAGCAAGGCGAAGGCACTGGGGGATGGAGTTCCAGGGCCTGGGGGCTGAGAGGCTGAAGGCCCGACCACCGATGGTAGGGCGGTTGGGGCGGGGGACGTGGAGCAGACCGGAGCCAGAGGAACGGAGGGTACGGGCAGGTAGGTAGGGGACACGGAAAGGACTGAGGATGTGCAGCAAGCCTGAATCAGTCGAGCAGATGAGTGAGCAGAGGAGTGGGATAGGAGGAGATCAGAGAGATAGGGAGGTGCTAGGATGTGAAGGGGTTTATAAGTAAAGTGAAGTTGATTCATTGGGAGAAGGGAGACAATGGAGTCTGGTGAGGGTTGGGGTGATCGGCGTGCAGAGTTTGGTGTGAGAGAAAATACAGGAGACTTGGATCAGTTGGAATTTATGGATTGCGAAAGTAGAGAGACTGGCAAGAAATGTGTTTGGAAAGTCTAGTCAGGAGGTATGAAAGGTGTGAATGAGGATTCAGTGGCATTAAGTGTGAGGTAGGGGTGAAAGCAGGCAACACAAATTACATTATATAGCGCCTTTCACGTTGGGAGGATATCCCAAGGCACTGCCAATGTGGCGTAGGTGAATGAATGAAAGCAGTCTTGATCAGGAACCAAATGAAGAAGATTCTGTTGAACAGTTTCAGTTTGTCTCTACTTTTTATTAACCTCTAGGGTTTTTGTGACACATCTGGGGTTCACTGCTTCCAAACCTCCAGTGAGTCTCACAGTTAGAGCCCTCATCAGGGCAAATGTACACAATGTGCAATAAATAATCTGTGGTGACTTTCATTTATTCTGAATTCTGCAAAGGTAATATATTGATAATATGTAAGTAGGCTCTACTGTCACATCTATGAAAGCAAATTTAATAGACTGTCACAAGACTACCTGTCTCTTGCTCTGTTATTTTTGTGCAGATTAATTATCAGATGTTTGTAATGGGAATGACGTACTGCATCAATCTAAAACTGAACAAATGTCTTTGCCCACACACTACACATGCAGGCTGTATGTGTGTGTCTGTGTGTGTGTTACAGCGCCCTGGGACATCCTCCTGACGTGAAAGGCGCTCTACAAATGTAATCTTGTTGTGTGTGTGCATACATATATATAAACTTGCACATTCATGTAAGTGTATATAATTCTTATTACATAAATGTGCAAGTACATGCATCACTAATATATGAGCGCACAAGTTGTTCTTGTAGTTAAACTGGAACAGCATAATCCAAAATACATTTAGTTTCAAACCAGAGGTCAGTCTGTGGACTGAATAATGAGTTCAACAGAAAATACTCCTAAGGGACAACAACTGTTTGTTTAACATTGGTAAAGCTGTTAACCCTTATTTCTATGATAAATTTGTACAAAATGGTTCTCCACAAGCAGAGCATTTGTCTTTCCTCACCACTTAAATAACGCGTTCACAACATCCATGCTTGACTACACAAACTCCCTGCTTGTCGGCCTCCCCAACTCCTCCCTTCATAAGCTGCAGATCTCCAGAACTCTGCAGCCTGTGTCCTCTCACACACCAGGCTCCGCAACCTTATCACCCCCATCATCACCCGAGGCCACTGGCTTCCCATCACACAGAGCATACAGTTCAAGATCCTGGTCCTTACCTTTAAAGTCCTCCATGGTCTTGCTCACCCCTACCTCTGCGACCTTCTAACCCCTACCAACCTGCCTGCTACCTCCGCTCAGGGCTCTGGCCTACTTTACATCCCCCACCTCACCTTAGCGGGCGGGGGATGTTACTTCTGCCACTCTGCCCCCACCCTCTGGAACTCCATCCCTCTGTAGTCGCTCCACCTCATCCCCTCCCTTGCCTCTTTCAAGACCCGACTCAAGACCCTCCTCTTCGACCGTGCCTTTGGTCACCTTCCTTCCCCCCCGCCCTCCACCCTCCCCGATCCCGACCCCTAGCTTGGGTCCCAAACACTGATTGTCCAACGCCTTGGGACGTCCTCCCGACGTGAAAGGCGCTATACAAATGTAATTTTGTTGTTCATGTTGTTGTTAAAGGATGCTCACAGATATCCCTAGCCATCTAGGCCAAGAGAGAGGAGAGCAATTATCACTGAATTATAACACACATTCCATGGGAAGAAGGACTAACCTGTCTCCTTTGAAGAAGTAGGTTTTACCAACATGTTCCCACCACACGGCTGTATCAATACCTTGTGAAGGTACTCCACTTCCCAGTTCAACCACGTTTTGAGGGTAGCCAAGTTCTAGGGTAGCTTCTTTAAATACCCAGTACTTACTACCTATAAGACAGCAATTTAGAACATTCACTGAGTGAAAGAATACACCACAAATCCCTATCTATTCCATGGGGATAACTAAATCTTAGAGTCCAGAAAAATAATTAATTTTGGTGCCTGCGGGAAATAATCACAATTCCGGATAATTTCTGCTGAATAGCAAAATCCCATGTACTGACTGTTACTAATCCTGTAGATCCACCTTCTCTTTGCTGCAAAGGGTTCTATTGTGATTTATATAGTGGTTGTAGAGTCGCTGGGGCTCAGGTGGCCTTTCCAAGCTCAGGTAATCCGTATGCACTGGAGAGCTTTCAGTGAGTTGTATTGTTTTGCTGAAGTTCAGTACTGCACTTCATACTGCATTACCAACATCTGTTACTTTGTGTGAGTTTTACTTAAGTAAAGGTTGTAAATACCAGTCAGTCCCTGTACAGCTATTATAGATAGCGAGAGAGAAAAAAACTGCAGGACTCACAGCAGGTCTTCAAACCTATTTTCTAAACTGCAATGAAATATTTCGAGCTCCAACTTTGGAAGGCTGGGTGGGAATGAAACCAATATATGGGATCTTTAGCGTCTACCTCAGCAGGCAGACGAAACCTCGGTTTAACGACTCATCTGGCGGTCAGCATCTCCGACGATGCAGCACTCTCCCCAACTCCACACTGGAGCATCACCCTCATACTGGTCTAAGTACTGTCTACAAATGCTATAGAATCAGAAACTGATGTAAATGTAAAGCAGGTTGACCAGCATCTGAAAGAGAAAGACAGACCGAGGATCTGGGTGTAAGTCTCTCCTGAAGGCAAGAACACCAAGAAAAATGTGTACTGAGAAAACCACACATCAAGCTGAAAGATAATCGATCTGAAAATGCATCAGAATGAAGTACAGTAATCTTACAGAAAACTATGAAGGTGCAGATTAACATTTTATTTTACATGCTTTGCTACAGTTTACAGCTTTGCTATAGTTGAATTGGGTTTGTTTGCTATTCCGAGACACTGTTCAGCATGAAGGGTGCTATATAAATTTCAAGTTGTTGTTCATTATCTACTGTAATGCACATGAAGCTCCCTCTGCTTGGCGGACTCTGGCCTGCTCCACGTAATGTCCACGTAATGCACGTGAAGCTCCCCTGCCCTGCCCTGCCTGCCCTACCATCAGTGTTCGGGCCTTCAGCCTTTATGCTCCCACTCTTTGGAAGTCTATCCAGTCCTTTGACTTGCCCACTCCCTTGCCTCCTTGAAGGCTTGAATCAAGACCTTCCTTTTCGACCACACCTTTGGTCACCATCCTTTCCCACCCCCATCCTCTCTATCCTCCAGCCCTCCTGATCCCAACCTCCAGCTCAGGTGCACATCCATGACTGTCCAATGCTTTGTAATAATAATAATAATAATAAAAGAGTTTGAAACACATTGCAATGTCATGTCATTTCATGTCATTCCTCCAGACATGAAAAGCACTACAAAAATGTAATTTGTTGTTGTTAAATGGCTTTAGGGTTAAGGAGAGCTCATCAGGAATGTAAATGGTGACTCGATGCTGAAAGGAGAGCCTCAGATTGTAAAATATATCTCCTGGAGGAAACCCCATCTATGCCACACAGACTCAGGAGACCTTGGCTCAGCTGCTGATTTCTGGATGAACTCTGTTTCAGAAGCTGCAATGTGTTTCAAACTCTCACTCTCACAACATTGGAGTACTTTCCAACAGCTCGGGTCAGTCGTCTGGCTGCCACCTGCCCGCCCACCCACCGAGTCTCCAACACAGCCTACTGCTCCACACCATTCTTTCTATTTACTCTTACCTCAGAGCCAAAAATAGTACAGTGCTGAGGTTAAACAATACTCCAGTGTCTGTCAGCTTTATTGTAACTCACCAGAGACCTCAGTGGTCTGACTAAAGCAGCCTCAGCTGTGGGAAGATCTCAAGAGTAGCTGAGCTGGATACTTTTTTTCCCAGGCATCAGCAGCAGACAATTGTGTGAAAAATCATGATTAGCAGTTCCACTAGGAATTTCCTGTCATTGGACCTGATCTTTCTCATGCTCACTCAGGCGGATTTGTCACATTGGACGGCCAGCCATTTCCTTTACTTTGTGGAAGAGAGATGGTGGTGGGGGGACGTGCAAATGGTGCAGTGTGTTTCAAAACTCTTTCATTTTCACAACACTGGAGTGCTTTCTAGCAGCTGATTTTTAGCTCCAAGTGGTTTCCTATTTTACTGAGCAGAATGGACAAATAAATTCATAATAAGCTGACCTGGAACTTTGTAACAGGCCATATGGATCCAGCTCTTCAGTATATGTAAACAGCAATATCAAATGGCCCAGAAAGACCTGCAGATTTACCCCAAGCCAAAATAGTTATGAAATTGCTTGACTGATGAATGTAGAGAATGACTGCCAACCTCGATTGATGAAGCCTCGCATGATAAAATGTAAACTCTTTCAGAAGCAAATTTGATTATCGGATGCTCGTGGAGTCAAATCTATATATATGCAAATTTACTTCAAGAAAATTTCAGTTGTAAGCAAACCGTTGCTAAAATGCAAATTATTTTTCATCAAGGGTACTTTTCACTCTTGTTTATCTTCTGTTGTAATATTTGTAACAAAAGCTTATTAATCAATCCTTCACTAAAAATAGACCAACTCCAGATTTCTTTTTATGAATATCATTGATTTGCGGTCACATTGCTGTGGGCTAGTTGCTGCTGGCAATCTTAAGACCATAAGACGTAGGAGCAGGACAGGGCCATTCGGCCCCTGGAGCCTGAACCGCCATTTAATAAAATCATGGCTGATCTTCTAATCTAATTCCTTTTACCCGCCCCTATCCCCATATCCCTTTATCCCTCTATCCTTTAGAAATCTATCAACCTGAGTCTTGAATACGTTCAAGGACTGAGCATCCATAGCCTTCTGGGGTAGAGAATTCCACAAATTCACTACCCTCTGAGTGAAGAAATGTTTCCTCAACTCAGTTCGAAAAGGTTGACCCGTACTCTTGAGACACTTTCCCACATTGTACTCCATCTGCCACCTTCTTGCCCACTCACCTAGCCTGTCTATTTCCCTTTGCATTCTTCGTGTGTCATCCTCACAGCTTATTCTCATACCCCTAGCTTTAGATTCTCCAACCAGGGGAAACAGTCTCATGGCATCTACCCTGTCAAGACCCATAAGAATCTTGTATGTTTCTGTAAGATACCTCTAATTCTTCTATATTCTAGAGAATATAGGTCTAGTTTACTCAACCTATCCTCATAGATCAACCCACTCATCCCAGGAACCAAGCTAGTGAATCTACGCTGCACCCCTTCTAAGCCGAGTATGTCCTTTTTTTAAATAAGGAGACCAAAACTGCACACAATATTCTAAGTGTGGTCTCACCAAGGCCTTATACAACTGCAACAAGACTTCCCTACTCTTGTACTCCATCTCTTTTGCAACGAACACCAACATGGCATTAACCTTTCTAGTTGCTTGCTGTACCTGCATACTAACTTTTTATGACTGGTGTACAAGGACCCAAATCCCTCTGAACACTAACACTACCTAGTCTCTCCCCTCTAGAAAATAATCCGCTTTTCTATTTTTACTACCTAAGTGAATAACTTTACACTTTCCCACATTATACTCCATCTGCTACCTTCTTGCCCACTCACCTAGCCTGTCTATTTCCCTTTGCATTCTTCATGTGTCATCCTCACAGCTTACTCTCCCACCTATCTTCGTATTGTCCGCGAATCTAGATATGTTAAGTTCTATTTCCTCATCTAAATCATTGATTTAGACTGTAAATAATTGAGGCCCAAGCACTGATCCTTTTGGCACACCACTAGTCACATCCTGCCAATCTGAGAAGGATCCGTTTATCCCTACTATCTGTTTTCTTTCTGTTAGCCACTCTCCAATCCATGCAATATATTACCTTTAATTCCATGGGCTCTAATCTTATGCAACAGCCTTTTATGTGGCACCTTGTCGAATGCCTTCTGGAAATCCAATTTACACCACATCTACTGGTTCTCCTCATCTAACCTGCTAGTTACATCCTCAAAAAACTCTTTAAGATTTGTTAAACATGATTTCCCTTTCGTAAAGCCATGTTGACTCTGCCTAATCATGTTATGATTTTCTAAGTGCCCCACAACAGCGTCCCTAGTTAAGTACTCTAGAATTTTCCCTACCACCGATGTCAGACTATCTGGTCTATAGATCCCCATTTTTTGTTTCCCACCCTTCTTAAGTATCAGCGTTACGTTTGCGACCTTCCAATCAATGGAACCATTCCAGAATCCAGAGAATTTTGGAAGATCAAAAACGAAGCACCCACTATCGCTGCAGCCACCTCTTTTAAAACCTTAGGATGCAGGCCACCAGGTCCAGGGAATTTATCATTTTTTAATCCTATCAATTTCTCTAGTACTATTTCTTTACTGATGTTCATTTAAATTCCTCACTAATATTAGCCTCCAGGTTCCCCTATATTTTCGGTAAGTTTTCAGTGTCCTCTAATCTTGAAGTTCTACAGATTTGTATGAAGGCTGGCAGTAGGCAATCACATGCCAGAATCCTTCCAGCTCCAGTAAGTTATCCGCAGGCATTGGCACTACTACATAGCGCTAATGCACACTTCAGTGCACACCACATGACTTAACCATTTCTGACATGCAAACAGCGACATGGCATTGGATCCTGCTTTCCTTGTTTGCTTTTCTACCTCTTATTTTATGCCCTTTCCTGCTTTTCCTGAAGGCAATGGTTCTTTGCATTTCATGGGCATTGCCTACCCTCAGGAGGTCTTCTTCATTTGCGATTCTGGGCAGTGTATAACAACAACAACAACAACAACAAGATTCCATTTATTGAGCGCCTTTCACGTCGGGAGGACGTCCCAAGGCGCTGTACAGTTGGGTCAGGACCCGAGCAGGGGGGAAATGGTCAGGGTGAGGGGAGGGAAGGGAGAGAGCGAGGAGGGGGTAGAGAGTCGAGAGGGGAGCTGAAGGCACGGTCAAAGAGAAAGGTCTTGAGACCGGCCTTGAAGGAGGAAAGGGAGGAGGCAAGGTGAAGGCACTGGGGGATAGAGTTCCAGAGCCTCGGGGCTGAGAGGCTGAAGGCCCGGCCACCGATACTAGGGCGGTTGGGGCGGGGGATGTGGAGCAGACCGGAGCCAGAGGAATGGAAGGTACAGGCAGGTAGGTAGGGGGATAGTAGGTCGGAGAGGTAGGAGGGAGCGAGGCCGTGAATGGCCTCTAGGTGAGGGTGAGGATCTTGAATTCGATCCTCTGGGGGATGGGGAGCCAGTGGAGGCGAGCGAGGGTGGGAGTGATGTGGTCCCGAAGCCTGGTGCGGGACAGTACACGAGCTGCAGAGTTCTGAATGACCTGCAGCTTGTGGAGGGAGGTGGCGGGAAGGCCGGCGAGGAGAGAGTTCCCATAGTCCAGCCTTGAGGTGATAAAGGCGTGGACCAGAGTTTCAGCAGCGTGAGGGGTGAGGTAGTGCCGTAGTCTGGCGACATTCCGGAGGTGATGGAAGGCGGTGCCAGTTGTGGCGCGGATATGAGGGAGAAAGGACAGCTCAGGGTCGAACAAAACGCCGAGGTTCCTGACCGGCTTTGAGAGGTGGAGAGTGCAGCCTTGGATGCTGATGTTGTCAGCGCCTGAGGTGCGGAGGCGCTGACGCGAGCCAATCAGGAGGGCCTCAGTTTTGCGCACGTTGAGCTGGAGAAAGTTATCTCTCGTCCAGGACTCGATGTCGGACAGGCAGCTGTCAGGACATCGGTGGTCGTGGAGTTGAGGGTAGAGGAGGAAAGGTAGAGTTGGGTGTCATCCGCATACATGTGGAAGTTAACCCCATGTCTGCGGATGATGTCACCAAGGGGGAGCATATAGAGGGTGAAGAGGAGGGGACCGAGGACAGAGCCTTGAGGGACACCGCACGAGACAGTGCGGGGCCGGAGGAAAAACCATTTGTGGAGACAAAGTGAAGACGGTGGGAGAGGTACGACCTAAACCACTCAAGGACAGGGCCTTGAAGGTTGAGGTGGGAGGACAAGCGGTGGAGGAGGATAGTGTGGTCGACCGTATCGAATGCTGCCGATAGGTCGAGGAGGACGAGGAGGCAGAGGGAGCCCTGGTCACAGATGGTCAGGATGTCATTGGTGACCTTGACCAGGGCAGTTTCTGTGCTATGGGCAGCACGGAAACCCGATTGAAGGGGTTCGAATAGTGAATGGTTGGAGAGGAAAGAGCGCAGCTGGGAGGCGACAACTCTTTCCAGGACCTTGGATAGGAAGGGGAGGTTGGAGATGGGCCGGTAGCTTGATAGCTGCGACGCATCAAGGGAGAGTTTTTTTAAGGTGGGAGTGATGGTGGCAGTTTTTAAGGGAATTGGGAATAGAGCCAGAGGAGAGGGACAGGTTGACGATGTCTGTGATATGTGGGGCAAGGAGGTGGAGCTGGGAGATAAGGAGTGGAGTGGGGATGGGGTCAAGGGAGCAGGTGGTAGGTTTCAGAGAGAGGACGAGTTTGGTGACAGAGGATGGGGAAACGGGTACGAAGGTGTGTAGAGGAGGATGGGTAGGAGTCGGAGTGTGGGAGGGAAGGGGTGGGTGGTGGGTGGATGTTGTAGGGGAAGTGAGGCGGAGCGGATTCCCTTGATCTTGGATTCAAGGAAATCCAGCATCTCCTCGCAGTGAAGGTTGGAGGAGATGACCTGCGCGGGGTGGCGGGGGGGACGGAGGAGTTGGGATGTGGTAGAGAACAGTAGCCTGGGGTTGTCCTTCACCTCCAGGATTATCCTGGAGAAGAAGGACGATTTGGCCGAGGCTAGAGTGGAGCGGTAAATTTTGAGGAGGTCCAGCCAGATATGTCGGTGGACCGTTAAGCCAGATTTGACCCAGGTGCGTTCAGCGGCCCACACCTGGCTCTTCAGTGAGCGGAGGTGGGTGGTGAACCAGGGGGAGGAGCGAGAGTAGGAGACAGTACGGGAGGTGATAGGGGCAAGAGTGTCAAGTGTGGAGGAGAGGGTGTTGTGGAGGAGGGTGAGAGCAGAAGAGGGGTCGGTGATGAGTTTTACTAGGTTAATCAACTTGTTGGGGGAGGTGGTAAATCACAGTTAGAGGAACACTCTGGGGTCGCTCAAGCTTTGGTTCTTGCCAACCTGTGCATAGTACTCCGATATTAGTAAACAGGGTGAATCCTTCTGGGAAGAGAGTGCGAATTCCATTCCAAACAATGAAATTTCCATGTGTGGATGACATAAATACTTAGGTCTGGTATGGTCTGCATGGTGATAGGTTTCAACACAGCTGAAAATGGCTTTGCAAAGTTTTAAAAGCAGTTTTCTTTTTGCCATTGTGGATTATACAAATAACTTCAGTGACAGTAACTCACCTTTAAAGAACACAAATTTCCCATCAGGCCGTTCATAAACCGCGTCAATGTTTGAAGGCAAACCCCTCCAGAAGTAGGCGATCTGCATGGGGTAACTATCCAACACCCTGTTGTTCCGAACTCTCCAGAACCATTGGTCCTGCAATGAAAATTTCACTCGTTAAATCTCCTGTACATCGTCTCTGCTTTGTATGAAATACAAAAACTTTAGAAAGCAAATCTCACTCACTCTGAAAGCTGTAAGAAAGAAATAAAAAAATCCCCTATACCAAGTCTAAATTTACTTATCACAAGTAGAAGTCCTCTTTTGTCTTCACAAAAGGAGGTGATGCAGCCATCGCCATAGTATCGGAGGAGAGGGTAAAGAAATTGGACAGAATAAAAATAAATAGAAAGGAGGTACTAAAAAGGTTGACGGTGCTCAAGGTAGATAGGTCACCCATGTGCAGTGGTGTACAGAGGTCGGTATTGGGACCACTGCTCTTTTTGATCTATATAAATGACCTGGACTTGGGTATAGGGAGTACAATTTCCAGGTTTACAGATGATACCAAGCTGGGAAGAGTAATAAACAGTGAAGAGGATAGTATCAGACTGCAAGGGGACATAGACAGACTGGTAAAATGGGCAGACACGTGGCAGATGAAGTTTAATGCGGAGAAATGCGAAGTAATGCTTTGTGGGAGGAAGATTGAGGAGAGGCAATATAATAATAATAATAATAATCCTTGCATTTGATATAGCGCTTTTCACGTCGGGAGGACGTCCCAAAGTGCTTCACAGAATACACTGTAAAGTGAATTGACTGTATATTTGTGGGCGAACGCGGCAGCCAATTGCGCACAGCAATGTCCCACAAACATCGTAGATTGAAAATGACCAATTTATTATTGTTTTGGGTTTTGGAGGGATTATTATTAGGCGTGTGGAGTAAGGAAACTTGCCCAAGGTTTCGCCCTGCCTGGAATTGAACTCAGGACTCTCGCTTGCAAAGCGAGTGCTCTAACCACTGAGCTACAGGACTCCAATATAAGCTGATGGTACAATCTTCCTGGGGGGTTCATATAAGTAAATCTTTAAGGTGTCAGGACAGGTAGATAAAACTGTTAAAAAAACATACAGGTTACTATGCTTTATAAATTGGGGTACAGAAGACAAAAGTCAGGAAGTTATGATGAACCTTTATAAAACACTGGTTAGGCCTCAGTTAGAGTACTGTGTTCAGTATTGGGCACCACACTTTAGGATGTCAAGGCATTGGAGAGGGTGCAAAGGAGATTTACCAGGATGGTACCAGAAATGACAGGCGTTAATTATGAGGCTTGAGAAGCTAGGATTATTCTACTTGGAGCAAAGAAGATTAAGAGGAGACTTAATAAAAGTTTGTAAAATTATGAGGATTTGATAGGGTGGACAAGGAGAAACAATTTCCATTGGTGGGTGGGTCGGTAACCCGAGGACACCGATTTAAAACAGTTCTTAAAAGAAACAGAGGGGAGGTGAGGCGGATTTTTTTCACACACGAGTTGTTCGGATTTGGAATGCATGGCCTGAAAGGGTGGTGGAAGCCGATTCAATAACAACTTTTAAAAAAGAAGTAGATAATTATTTGGGGAGAACAAGTTTGCAGGGCTATGGGGAGAGTGTGGCGGAGTGGGATTGATTTGGATAGCTCTTTTCATAGAGCCAGCACAGACACGATGGACCAAATGGCCTCCTTCTGTGCTGTATAATTGTATGATTCTGTGAAGTACAGGGTGACCAAAACATCATGATAATTACCCTATTATCTAATAAAAACCCAAAGATATCATCATTTCTTTAAGAGTTATTCGACATTGTAATGGTATCATGACTTTTTGGACACCCTGTACTGTCTCCAATTTTGTGGCTTAAATTGTTTGTATAAATACCTGATGTGCAGCAGATAAGTCTCCCCTCCAGAAACTCAAGCTTGACTGCTGCTGAATGGGAAATCTTGAATGTCGTTCCCCTTTATTAACCGATAAGGCAGAGCATTTCTGAATCAAAATGCTTCTAAACCGTGGCTCGATAAAATATATTGTCAGCCCTTTCATAGTACAAATTTGGTTACAGCACAGTTGCAGCGTTACCTTCTCAATTCCGTATGCTAATAGCTGGCCTGCTCATTTCCTGTATTCCAACTGTCTGTTGCACTAAAATGGCCAACTTCTGTTTCATAAGGTCACATAAGGTCAGCGCTTTGGGACATCCTCCCAACATGAAAAGGGCTCTATAAATGTAATTTTGTTGTTGTTATTGTCACAGTCAACATCACTTCCTGCTTTGTGCATGTGCAGCAAACAGAAAGTGACATTGGTCCTGTTAGAGCAGGAACCGGCCGGCCGGTAGAGAGTAAACACATTGTAACAGGCTACCAGGCTATATTTTTTAGATCCTTTAAGGCTCATCTATGGTTATAGAGAACAAATTAATGCATCAGCTTGAAGTGTAGCCCATTCGAAAGGCAACAACTACATTGTGGTCCAGGAGAAAGCATTACCTTTGCCCAAACTTGACAAAACACAAATAATAAAAGAAAATAGCTTTAACTCTGCCTTGCACTTGAAATGACAGCCAATCGATCTCTGAATGCTTCAGGAGGTAGAGGCCACTCTATCACCTATTAATAATAATAATATTCCTTGCATTTGATATAGCGCTTTTCACGTCGGGAGGACATCCCAAAGCGCTTCACAGAATATAGCATAAAGTGAATTGACTGTATATTTTGTGGGCAAAATACTAACGCAATGTTCAACACATAACAATAATTGACAGTAAGTGGCAACAGTTTTAACTTTACCTGCAAACTTTACCCCTACATTAACAAAATTCAGCCTTCCTAGTCTGTTTTGTACCCAGTAGATAACATTGGGTAAGGAACATGGTTTTGTGTAATAGTTTTGTTATATTTCTCTCTGACCTTTACATTTTTTAGATCCTCAGACTTCCTCTTCTTCCCAATCCACCCAATGAAGGCTCAGACATACAATTATCAGTTGTCCAATTACCCTATTTCCAGAATATACTCAGATATGTTACTTTTCTATAAATACAATACAACTTACATGTACATAGTCCCTTTCACATCGGGAGGACGTTTCAAAGCACTTGACAAGATGTCCAAACAGGGAATGGGAGCCCAGGAGGGGTCGGGAGGGGAAAGATGACTGAAAGCATAGTCAAAGAGGTACGTTTTGAGGCATAGCACATAAATGCAGCACGCTGCATGCTATTTTTCTCTGACATTATTTAAAGTTCAGAATGATACACCATTATGTGAACAACAATAACTTGCATTCAGATAATGCTTTTCAAGTACATGAAACACTTCAAATTGATTGGCAAACACTTGAGTTTGAGATGTAATCCAGTTGTGGGAGCTTGTGGTCTTTGTGAAGTGGAGCTGCTCTTACTGGACTCTGGAAGTCATAAAATTAATCTCCCAGATAACAAAAGCCACAAAAGAAAGCCTTTGTTTCAAACAATAACTCATCTGGAGTTGAGATAACGTCAATGAAATACCTGAGATTTATTCCTGTGGCTTCTGGCATTGCCTGAACTCCTTGATATATTGCTCCCTGACAGGCACCAAATAACTGCACTGAAACGTCATATTTTATCATCTGTGAATTTAATGGGCCTCTAGATCTTTCTTTCGGTCCTTCCTATCTACCCTGTGTGAAGGGCACTATATAAATGCAAGTTGTTGTTGTCTATGTACCTTTATATGTATTTGTCTGCAAACTCTTTCCCTTTGTGGGCATTTGTTCACATAATGAGTTATAATAAAAATGAATCATTGCAGTTGATATAGCACCTTTCACATCAGTAGGATGTTTCAAAACTTTCAGACGTAGGTCCTTACAGATTAATTCCTACCTATGCTCTTTTCGAATAATGCCATGGGATCTTTAAAGTCCTCCCGATCATACAAACAGAACCTCGGTTTAATCATCCAACAGGCAGTGCCCTCCATTAGGTACCCCCCCACCAGGAGTGTCAATCTAGACCAAGCCCCGGTGGGGGGTGTGAACACACAACCTTCTGGCTCAAAGGCTACCACTGATGCAGGCTGACACCTTGTTAAGGATCATTTTCTGAACTTGAGTTAGCATTAGTCTACGAGATGTCTAGGAATTCCCCCCAGTATTGATGTATCAGTTTTCCTATACTTTTTGTGTCACCAACAATCAGAATCAAACCTTTCAATTGCTTGTTATTTTGTTTGGCTATAGTTGTGCTATAGAGCATAAAAATGCGAACTACGCTGTATGGTGCAAATACAATATTTTATTTAACAAGGTGCTTGCCTTATTATCTCAAAACAACTGAAACCTATGGGATGTAATAGGCAAGCATGGCAGCTAATTTATGCCAGGAATAATTTACAAAGAGAAATGGGAAGAAGGACTTCATGCAACCTTTTGGTTTGTCAATTTAGATGAAAGAGCAATATTGTCCAGGGCAAAGGGGAAAACAAAGTAAAGCGCAACATAAACTAAGTATAAACATCTTAGAAAGATCCACTTTAATTGGTAAACATAATTCCTGGACCAATCAGAATCAGCCTGGACTTTAATGAAAAACTACTTGTTTTCAAATGGAATATTTCCCTCGTGCTTTGTAGTTTTAGTCATATATAATAAACATCATCCTTGCTCTTGATACACAATATAATACACTTGATATAGTTCATGTTACGTTAAGTCATCTCAAAGTGTTTCACAGCAAAAGTGACTATATTTGTATTTCTTTACAACAATAGTCAGTCAATTCTGCAAGCAAAGCAAAGTGGATATGATATTTGTGTGTATCAGTATTCATGAAAAATATATATCTTGCAGGAGATGTGAACTAGAGAAAAGTAGCTCAGGTAAAGAAACAGCCAACTGTCCTCCTTGGCGGGGAGGTAAGTGGAGGCTTCTTGGAATTCAACTGACTCCAAGGTGACATGTTTGGCAACGAAATGTTGGAATCGAGCCAGCCCTCTTTGGCGGTCTCGGTAGTTCAATTTCTGAGCCAGGCATGTCCATAGTATTTCAGGGCACTGTTGATGACAGCACAACCTGTAAGCCGAAGCCCTAACAGGTAGGGTTGTCCTAGCTGGACAGC